TACCATTAAAGTTTGTACCATGAATTTGGGACCACCCTGTATATATATATATATATATATAGACCAAAGAGAAAATGAGATCGAAATATCTCGAATTATTAATGAGGCAGGTGGAATGAAAAAATATTAAAATCAGTTTAAAAGCCGGGTAAAACATGAAGGTGATCCCCATATGACTTTCAATTTAGTTTCCACCTGAAAGGAGACAGTTTCTGATCTTTTCAAACTGGCTTTCCAGCTTCCTAATTAGTGAATCGAAGGATTTCGCCTTTTTGTTTCTTCCTCGTTTAAGTATTAATTTGTGACCCCAAATGTACATATTTTTTTTACTTCATTTTTGATAATGATTCTAAAAATATTTATTAAGGATGGTGTTTACGGAACACCCTGCGTATTTTGAATAGTGGTATGCACAGATATTTGATCTCGCATAGGTGAAAGGGTGTTGAGAATTCTTTTGTAAGTGTTGTTGCATAATTTTAACCAAGATAATAGAGTTTTATATTCTTCCAATTTTTTTTTCCTTCATAATTATATATACTTAGGTTGAAACTACATAGTTCCGAGGGTAATATCATTGATTTCTTTTTAAATAGTAATAATAGTAATTTAAACGCAGAGAAAATTCTTTTAAATCCAGAGAAAAATTTTTTTAAAAGAAATATTTTAAAATTTCTATTTTGGCAGTCGTCTTTCCTGTTTATGTAATACTAGCCGCCAAAAGCGGCCAGCTGTCCGCCACGCTAAAGGTTTTCACAAGTAAAGTTTTTTAAAACATAGCAGGAAATCTGAAGATTAGTGGACAATTAAAGTGTTCCTGTTCTGCAATTTTGTCTTCATATCCAGTTCTGCTGCAGATGTGTTATAGCTCTTGAGGATGTTTGAAGATGTAACTTTGCTATGGTAATCTAAGGCCTATGGTAACCTAACCTATAATATAACTATCAGGTGGAGACTTGTTTTTTTTTAAAAAAAGGCCTCAGAAATTGTAAAAGCATACAAAAGTTGCTTTCGAAATCATCATTGGCCAATAGCTGAAAACTTCTTCCAATCTTCTTTGACGTTTCTCTGATACTTCTTGGGCTCTAGAATTGCTTGTCGAAATTCGGTCATGTTCCATCCTTCTTTGACATTCCACAGACGTTTCTTGGGCCCTTCTTCTTTGAGAATCTCTTAACATCTTTTTCCTTGAAAAAATACAAAGTTTTTTGGAAGGCGGTTCTGCCATGTCAGTAATTGTGTTTTTAAGAAGTCAACGAATACTTTAGAACAACAATTACTATGAAAGCAAAATCATGAAACTTCAATATTAAAATCTAAGTGCTTACCTGCAAACTGAAACTTTCTGAAAATAACTAATTACATTTAATAAAAACGGTTAAAATAAAAAATAGAAAAACCAAAGAAATCCAAGATAAGTGTGATCGTTCCTTCAAAAACAATTAAATTCCTATTTTATATATTATATACAACGCTTAAGAAAAAAAACTAAAATGCTAAATGAAACATGAAAAGAACACGAAAACGAATTAATTTTTTATGGTATCAATTTCTATATAATTTTTTATGGTATCTATTGTTATATTGCTACAAAAATTATCGTTTTCGCACGGGGGCACCCTCAAGTATAGTCTACCCAGGTTTTCTTACAAAATGACTGATAACTAAAAAACTAATCCAAATTTTTGAAAAAGAAAAAAAAATACTTCTTCATTATGTCAAAACACAATTTTGTGCAGAGTTTCGTGCCTGGGCGAGGCTTCTGGGGCGATATATTGTGATTACAGACACACACACAGCCGCGTTTATTATTATGTATAGATTTTCATGACGTTTGGTAAGTAAGAAAGCAAAACAATTTTTAGATAAATTAAGAGAAATTGTGTCATAATTGAAGCTCCATAAGTCGGAAAAAATATTAAAAAGTTTGAAGTAGTTATTCATGTTTATATGACTTCTTTTAAAAATGCGAAACTAGGTTTGCAAATAATTGAAGAAACAAAAANAAAAAAAAAAAAAAAAAAAAAAAAAAAAAAAAAAAAAAAAAAAAAAAAAAACAAGTAGTGGCGTGTAACAGTTAAATTAAATATTATTTGTATTGGTGCGTGTAAAGTAACGTTATTTATGTATTATTATTAAAATGAATGGGTTGCATAATTGGATGTATCTCTGGATATAGTCATATCCAGAGATACAAAAAAATAGGTAAATGATTAAAAATAGGTAAATGATTAAAAAGTCTATTGATGTAGATGTGTTAATAGGAAAGAAAAAAAAACATTGGTATTTACATATTTAGGAAATCTGGGAACACATCAGCACTACTAATTTAACTTTCACCTATGAAGCCCGTGCTCTTTATTGTTTTTATATATATTACGATCGTCGTTCCATTTTGTTTCTTTTTGTAGTATACTCAATAAATAGTTAGTTTAACTTAAAGATGT